CAAGTTCAAGGCCAGCCTGAAATACATAGTGAGACCTGTCTCAAAAAAACCAAGAAAAACACCCCTCCCTAAATGATTATGCCACACTATTAGATTTATTTCTCCACCTGTAGTTTTAAAAACACTGTTGTGTGATAAATGCCTAAGTATAGGTTATTTCATCACAGGCCATGTGCGTTATCATCAGCTTTAGTAAGCGTTGCCAGATTTTTCCCTAACGAGTTGATACTAATTTATAGCCATACCTATAAATTGACTGTAATTTATCAAACACGTATGACAGTTCCTGCTTCCTCATTACTCACCCGTGTGTGACATCCTCAGGGAACCTTTAAAATGAGTCAGGTGGGTGTGGATTAGTATCTAGTTGTACTAATTTCACCTTTCTTTGGTGATCTTTGAGCTTGAACATCTCATGTTTGACACTTAGGATTGCCCCCTTTCATAAATTCCATGAATTTTGTCCATTTTTTTTTTGTTAGGTTGTTTGTCTTTCTTATTAGTGGGAGATTGTGTTTGCTTACAAGTGCTTCTAAATATTGTGAATCTTTTGTGGGTTCAATGCAAAGTGTCTTTTCCAAGTCTGAGAGGAGCTCAAACCCAGGTCTTTTTTACTCTGGTAAGTGTCTTTAGCAGCCTGTCTCTCACTGTTAAATCACAGTAACTGGATGCTAAGAAGGAAAACTAATTCCTAGTAGTTGCAGCAATAGTATATTGTTAAAATTGTGCACAGATTTTTCTTCAAAGTAGGTAAGAAATTTTTTAGAAAAATAGCACCTATAAGAGAATTTATACTTAGGAAATTAAAATTACATATCACTATTAACTGCTCAATAATTACAAATTTATGAAATATATTGGAGAAACAGATAGGTTTTTGGTAGTGAAAGCAAGTCTTTAAAGTCTGACTGATTTGTAAGCATGTTCTTGGTTTTGCCCAGAGATGTAGGGTGCTGTGTAATTTATTTCCCCTCAGCCTCCAGACTTAATATAGCATGGGTTTCTCTTTCCAAACCATACCATCCTCTCCAGGTGGACACACCCTGAAATGTTTTTTTTGTTTGTTTATTTGTTTGTTTTTAGCTTTTGGTTTATTTGAATCCTCCTTGTTTTAAAAACAACGTGCCAAATTTTTCTTTGCTTTAAAAGTATGAAAGGGAAGATTGTAGTAAAGCAGAGATGCTAATAATAGTCAGGTGTTTCTTTTTATCAGCTACCTCTGGGCTGCTTTGCAGTGCTGCTGATTTCTGGGCAGCCATGCAAATAAGCTTGGTCACCTAGCAACAGAAGCTGGAACCAGTGCCAGCTCTGATGCAACAGTGTGTAAGGACCTGAAGTTAGAACAGAAGAGTTTCACACTGCATCCTATTCCCTCAGCCTCTTGTTATCATCTAAATTTCTTTACTACCTGGGACCAGGATAAAAACGATGAAAGAAGTTTTCCTATTCACCTCAGTGGCTTAAATTGGAAAATCAGAGTGGTAGAAAGAATTTCAGAAGAGTGCATTGTGTGCTCACCCTTGTTTCTAAGAACAGCAAATAAGTTTCAGGACGTGAATATAGTTAGAGGTATTCTGAGTGTAGGGATTGTTTGATTTTTCTTACTCAGGCAGTAGGGACCATACTCATAGTAAGCTTTAATGAAATAAAGGTTTATGAGGGCAACGCTGAAAACTTTATAACAAGACCAAAGGATAGTATTTAAATGTTAGACTCTTTAAAGTTTTCTAGGTGATCAGCATCTTTTTTTTTTTTTTTTTTTCTTTTTTTCTTTTTTGGTGGCAGTACAGGAGATTAAATCCAGGGCCTTCACACTGAGCTATATCTCCAGCCCTTTTTATTATTTTTTATTTTTTTCCCCCAGTACCCGGGAATTGAACTCAGGACCTTGCGCTTGCCGTGCATGCGCTGTGCCGCTGAGCTAAATCCCCAGTCCCCTATTTTTGTATTTTAAGATATGATCTGGCTAAGTAGCAAAACTACCCAGGCTGGGTTTGAACTTGGGATCCTCTTACCTCAGGCTTCCAGAGTGCTGGGATTACATGTGTGTGCTACCACTTCTGGCTAACCTGTGTGTATATTAAGAAAGCTGTTTACTGACTTTTTCTGTTTGATCTGAGCAGATACTGTCTGGTGGTGCCTTACCAAGTTCTGCCTTGATGTGGAATGCCAAGTAAAATTGTCTTTGGAAATGTATCTTCCACAGTTATTTCATATTTTTCTGTGAAATAGGTACCGGATATATTTGTTGGGGATTGATAGGCTTGGAGAATAACTATTAAATGGATAGATAGAAATCTGGAGGTTGTGTTTGGGTTGAATGAATAGTGAGAAATCTGTCTTAATTAGCCTCAGTGATTCTTGGATATAATATGCACTTAGAGAGCTGGGGATTTAGCTCAGCGGCAAAAGCGCCTGCCTGGCAAGCGCAAGGTCGTGAGTTCGGTTCCCGGTACCGGAGAAAAACCAAGGGAAAAAAAAAAAAAACTGCACTTAGACATCACAAGAGTAACAGGCAGATTCTTGAGTTTGTAACGTATTCTGTCGTTTTCATATATCCATCCCTTCATTCATTTGGATGGCCCTTTGGGGAATAAAATGAGACAGCATAATATCTATCATCTTCTGGGCCTCTGCTCCAGTCCACAAGAGGAGCAAAATAGACTACTCTAATGTTCTAGCTGTCATAGACAAAGCAAAATAACTTACTTAAAGTATCAATGAGCTGTTATAAAATTGTATTGCAATAAGACCTGATAAGCAGACATGAAACTTGAGAACCTTACACAGCAATTGTGGTTCTTCAGTGTTAGTGAACCATCTATTCAGTATGTGCAGGGCCACGGGTTCAATCCCCAGCTCAGAAAGTGTATGGTTTAAAAAAAAAATTAAAAAAATTTTTGTCTGAATGATTCCAGATTTTGTGTGTTTAGGTTACTGGTTGAATGTCTAAAACAGGGTTGCTAGCTCTCTATGGAGCAGAAAATTGTGCTTCATATTGGAGAGGAACACTGTCCGGTATTGTGGTGATTGTGAATAGCTGGTTGTTGCAATTGCTGTTGGAGGTTACTTACTGTCCGTTCTCCTGTGTCCAATAGAAACAGTTCCTTATTGCTTGGGCTATATTTTCGCAGTAGTTGACTAGGATTGTTGTTTCAGTTACATCAAAATGATTTTGTCAGGTTGGCTTTGCTTGTAAAGATGTCAGCGCTAGAGGTTTATAAAGGAGCAGCACCTATGGAAAATGAGGGGGCAGAAGCAGACTAGGCAGAGGCTTTCAGACCCTGATGTAGATCTGCACCTCCCGTGCCCCTGATGCTTTGGGTTTCCTTCTTTGTTGTCTGGAGACCTTAGCAGTTTTAGAGCAAGTCTGCCAGCAGCACATTTATCAGAAAATGTTTTCCTTCATGTAGGATTGCCATAATTTTAGCTTCATTCCCAAAGGATATTTGCACTGGGTATATAGAATTGCAGGAATAGTGTCCTTTTTTTAACTTGAAAAATGTTGCACCACTTCTCTCTGGACCCCATGGTTTCATTTGAGACATCTGCAGTCATTGGAACTACTTCCTCTGGCTGCTTCCAAGTTTTTTTTTTTGTTTTGTTTTTAGGTTCCAGCAATTTGATTATGAAGTGTTTGGGTAGGACTTCTTCTTTTTGGAGTACACGGAGTTTCTTGAATCTGTAGGTTTTTATCACTGGCATACTTGGGAGGTATTATTCAGATGTTTCATCCAAACCACAGTCTTTCCCATTGGCTTTTCTGATGGTGTAAATGTTAGATCCTTTGTTTTCCTAAAGGCTGTTGTAGTTGTGTTCATTAAAACCTTTTTTCTGTTGTTTCTAGATGGATCTTCACTGACTTTCTTTCCACTGCTACTTTTGTTCTCCTTTTCTGAGCCCATCCAAGGAAATTTTTTATTTTGGTTACTGTGTTTTCTAAATCTTTGCTAATAAGCCTGTCTGTCTTGTTTCAAGAGAGATGTTTGCCTTTATTCTTGGGGTACTCTGAAGTCTTTTGATGATTTCCAGCATTGTGTCATTTTGGTGTTAGTGTCTGTTGATCGTCTTTTCCTGTCTAAGCTGAGATTTTTCTCGGTTCTTTGTTTACCAGATAGATGTTTTGTTTTATTTTGTTGAGACAGGATCTCCCCATGTGGCTCAGGCTGGCTCATGGCGATTCTCCTGCCTCAGCCTCCTGAGTACCGAGATTACAGGTGTGTGCCACCACTGTACCCAGCAACACTGTGAGTGTTCGGCTTTCGTCCTCCTCATCTGTGTGAACTCAGTGTAGAGTGTTGGTTTCCGCAAGCAGTCGGCCTGATAGATTCAGCCCACGGGCACTGACTAGTCTTCTCTGTGTTGTTGTTTCAGTGTCATTTTCCTCTTGTGTGTATCACACTGCAGCAGCCTTTTGAGTTCTTTTCAGCTTCCAAGTCTGTGGTATGCTGGGTAGAGCCAGACCATGTGTGCACAGCTTGGGATGCACAGGAGCACACAAAACGCTTTCTCACCACCCGGCGAGCCCCTCTCCTCCGTCCGCCCTGCCCTCTGTCCTGCAGTTGTTGGGACACGCCATGGCGTATTAGCAGTGTCCTGTTGGTGGGCACACGTGCTTTCTCCCTGTCACCAACAGGGGCATTCTGAGTGAGCGTTTTCAGGCCATCACGATGTAATTCTGAAAATATTGCTGTAGTACGATGCCTGGAAATGAGTTTACTTACCTGATGTCATTTTCACAGAAGTTACTATTAGATCTACATATTTTTCCTAAATACTCTGTAAAGTCTAAATATGCTGTAAAGATTCGCCTTTGTATTCTCTGAGCACTAGTCCCCGCAGGGTTCACAAAGAAGCTGTGGGGAAATTCTTTGTGATAGTTTTGATCGGTTGGAATTGGGTGCTTACTGAGATCTCAGTGAAGTGTAGACCATTCTTTCCATTAGGTGGGAAGAAAAAACCATCTGTTCATGATTCCTTTTTTTTTTTTCTTTTTTCAGAATTTTGATTCTGACATCAGCAGCGTGGGAATAGACGGCTGCTGGCAGGCAGACAGCCAGCGGCTTCTCAACGAGGTGATGGTGGAGCACTTCTTTCGGCAGGGAATGCTGGATGTAGCCGAGGAACTCTGCCAGGTATCTGGGCCACACCTGGGAGGACGTGGAAAAGAAACGGCCTGGGGTGTAGCTCGGTGAGGAGCGCGTGCTCAGCACGCACCAGGCCTGCCTGCCATCCCCAGTGCTGCAGATGCAGGAACAGTGATGGGACTGCCGACAAAAAAGGAAGGAAGGAGGCTGTTTAGATTACTTAGAGTGGGGTGAGCCTTCTACAGATAGATTTCTTTTTTTACTGTTTTATTTTTTGGTACCTCATGCTTGCTAGGGCAGCACTGCGCCACTGAGCTACATCCCTGGCCCCACAGATAGATTTTTAATATTTTAATTATTAGAGATTACTAGGGTTATTATTTAATGACAAGGAAAATTTTTTTTCTGAAGTGGTGAAAATTGTGGTCCTAAAACTTATTATCTGAATTGTTCTTTGTTTCTGACCCACTGAGCTGGTCATGATTCAGAGGGATCAAAAGTGATATTACTTCTCTCTTTTGAGGGAAGGTTCCTCTGGCAGAGGTAAGGAAAGGGACAGACAACGTTAATGTTTGTTCTTCTGATTTAGCCCAGTGTGAAGAAATTTATCAAATGAATTTCAGAGTAAAATTTATCTGAGGTGAGCGGTGCTTCTTTATTTCTCCTAGTGCCAAGCACAGGGGTGCAGAGCAGTTCACCAGTGTCTTGTAGTCCTAACAGCTGCTGCGTGTGGAGTATTTACCTCAAGCAAAACCCTGCCTTTATTCCTCACTGCAGCCCCCGAAAGTAGAAATTACTCCGGATCAACACATGAGAAATCTCAGGTCTGGAGAAATAAGTAACTAGCCCAGGGCCATATAGTTCTTCGTGAGGGATCTGGGGTTCAGTCCCCTATTCATGTCTCCAAACTGTTCTATTTTACACTATTCAAGTAAGGTATAACTCAGGTCTGTCTTTGTAACCTGTAGGAATTTTGTGTATGTTCCTATGCATTTTTTATAGTAAATTAGTAGCAAAGGCCCAGATATTGGTGGCTTAGACAAAAATGAAGTTTGTTTTTTATGCACAGAAGTAGACAGTAATGAGAGCTAGCACACATGCTAGCTCTGTTCCTGCAGCTTTTAGAAATAAATACACCGTGTAGTCTGCTGTTTCTGGTCTTTGTATTCCAGGAAGGACAGAGTGTGCGTGTTTATACTTCATTAGCCAAGACTTACATCTTGAAAAGTCTTACTCAGCTGTATTCCACAGTCGTGTACCCAGCTAAGATTTAGGGGTTCTAGTGCAATAGCTGGGGTGGGGGTGGGCACTGGCCACTCTCCACCACAGAAGCATCTGTTAACAATAAATTGTCTGTGATGGCTTGCCTCATATTTTGTAATCAGAGTACATTTTTACTACTGTGCCTTTGTTTTGGTTACTTACTGCTAACAAAAGTTCTTTCTGTTTTTTCAGGAATCTGGTCTTTCTGTAGACCCAAGTCAGAAGGAACCATTTGTGGAGTTAAACCGAATATTAGAAGCATTAAAAGTCAGAGTTCTGAGACCTGCTCTGGAGTGAGTTACTGAGTTTTTCTTTTGGCTGCTTACGGGAGAACTCTCTATAAGAAAAGCCACTTAGAAAATACTTTAGAGATTTTTAGATATATTTATCTTACCCTTGAGTTAGAGAAACCACAGGAGGATTATTTTCTTTTAGCCAAGTGAAATATGGGGAAGTGCAATATGAGAAAATTGTATGGCTTATTTAACTTATCAGTTGGTCTGAGTTCCCACGAGAGAAAAGGGTTTCCAGCGTCCCTGCTGCTTGCCGCTTTTTGTGCCCTAGCACTGTTACTGAGGCACTGTTGTCCAGGCAGCGCTCCTCCGATACTCGAGCTCCCATGACGTGCCGGCGTGGGAAGACACGATTGAGTTGGTCGTTTGACCTCACTGGTGTGCGTGAAGACTGCAGATACTGCCCAAAGGCGCTCTAGTCTTCATTACTGTAGATTGTGATGGTTCACTGTGAACTCACTGATACAAATTACCTGAAATTACTGAGTAAATTGTAGTAAATATTATCCTAGACAGGGTCAGCAAATTTTTTCATAAAGGGCCAAACAATTAGTATTTTAGGGTTTGCGGGCTGTGTAAGGTCTCGCACATACTTATTTTATAACCCTTTAAAAAGGTAAAAAGTTGTTCTTGGTGTCATGACAGGCAGGCAGCAAGCTGTATTTTGCCCGTGCCATAGCTATCTGACCCCTTCTGGAATGTTTCAGTGTGAAGATTACCAGGATATTTGTAATAAATAGCTCACAAAATAAAGAAAATAAATTGGATGCTAGAAGCAGTGTGAGGGTGTAACCTTAGAAGTCTGGCATTTTAAAATGGAAAAATTGCCAGGCATGATGGTGCACCCCTATACTCCTACACTCAGGAGGCTGAGGCAGAAGATTGACTTGAGTTTGAGGTGTCTGGGCTCCATGATGAATTCAAGTCCAGCCTGAATTGCATGGTGAGACCCTGTGTGAAAAAAAGAAAGAAGGAAAGAAAAATTCAGCTGAGTGTGGTTGTGCCTGTAATCCCAGTGCTTGGGAGGCTGAGGCAGGAGGATCACAGTGAGTTTGAGACCAGCCTGGGTTACATTGTGAGTTCAAGGCCAGCCTGCACTGCAAAGCAAGATCTTGTCTCAAAAAAGCAAACCCTGGCCCCCCCGCTAAAATCAATATACATATTGATTTGATTTAAAAATCAAGTCAATATATATATATATATATAAATCAATCAATCAGTCAATCCAAATAGGTGGAAAATCCCTATGGAGTTTTATAAAATGTACATTTTTTTCCCCTTAACTTTGTCTTCATAGTTTAGTTTTCTGTTTTTGATTGTTTCTCAGTTCTTAGAAAATTTTAAGCTGGGTATGGTGGCACACACTTGTAATCCCAGCACTGAGGAGGCTGAGGCAGGAGGATCGCCACAAGTTCCAAGCCAACCTGGGCTGTATAGTGAGTTCAAGGCCAGTCTGGACTTCACAATGAAACCTTGTCTAAAAAAAAGCCTGGTTCTATAATCAGCTCAGATGAACAGGCAGAGATAGTTTCCCATGTAAATGTACTGGTATGTTATAAAATTGCTGTATAAATTATAAATATAAGGTAAGTGTTATAAGGTACATGTTACCTTTGTATAATGTATGAAGTTTCTGTGTTTTGTGTTCAGGAAATTTTAGATGATGACACATTTGGGAGATAAATTTAACCAAGTACTTGTAGCATGTTTCAATATATGTATGATGGAGGCCATAATTTGTATATATCACTGCCAGGCAGATTGAACCACCAGCAGTACATGCATGATTGTTCCATGGTTGGCTTTTTATTTTACTGGTAAAAAGATGGATAAAAGCACGTTTGTACCCACCAGTGGGCCAGTCATGTGTGTACCACAGGTGGTTCAAGCTGGCAGGAAGGTGTTAAAATAAGGCCTTCGCTGGTTGTCACGAGGAGAATGAGGTAGCCTGAATATAAAAATGTATTGAGTTTCCCAGTTGTTTTATAGTGATTAGGAAATAATATTTGGGTTGGGTTGTAAGTCAGGGTAGTATTTATTTCTCCATTTGTTTCATCAAAGTTTCATCAGACCTTTATCAAGCACTTACTACTACATCCCAGTGACTGTGGTGAGTATTTGAACAACTGTTGTAGCCTTTAAAGTACCCCAGATCTTTCTCTTTGAGAAAGGAAACAGTAACGTAATCCAGAGAGATGCTAGTTATTGACCTAAAGTGCTGTCATTGGGGAAGCCAGTTGACTGCTTCCTCCAGGTACCTCAAAGATAATATTGTATTACCGTGGTAGGTTTGCAGTCGGCCAGGATCTGACTGTCAGCATTGAAGAATTGGTTTGTGCATCCCTCTGTGTGTGTGTGCGTGTCTGGGTGTCTGTGTGGGTATTTTAATGCCAAGATCAGGTCTGTACTTTCATCGGTTAAAAAGATGGAATTTTTTATGTGCCCAGTTTGGATTGCCAGTGGCTCTAAAACTAGCTCATGGAATTGCAGGCATACACTACCACGGCCAGTGCTGTTTGAATTTTGAGCCAGCATTAATTTTTCTAATAGGTATATGAGCTGCTGTAATCCCAGCACTGGGAAGGCTGAGGCAAGAGGATTGCCGTGAGTTTGAGGCCATCTTGGACTATGTATTGAGTTCAAAACTAGCCTGAACTACAGAGCGAGACCTTGTCTAAAGAAAAAAAACAAAAAATGAAAAACTTCAGTTGAGTTTGTGAAATTTTTCCCTATAAAGGCTGCTCCAAAATACAGTCGTACCACAAACAGCAAGATTGCTTTTCATCTGTATCACCGCCGTTGATACTCTTCTTCCTCCTCCCCTCCCCCATTCCTCGTCTTCCTGCTTCTCTTCTTCACAGTCCTTGCAAGCCTGGTAAGTGTGTGGCGGAGGAAGAACAGCATCTCTCACTTGCAGTTGTCTTACGAGTGAAGCTAAGCTGCATCTTCTCTAAGTAGGCTCGCACCATCATCTGCGAGGTCCAGGGCTCTAGGCCTCTGGCCTGCGTTAACAGCTTTCTCATGCCAAGGGCCATCTTAGGCAGAGGTGTCACCACCGAGGTATGTGACCACCCTAGACCAAGACTTGTTCCCCAGGGCCCGTGTGAGCGAGCATTTTACCCTGGCCTCAGGGGAAGCTCGTAGCACTTTTTCAAATGGTTTACAGTTGTATTTGCAGACGCCTCCGTGGAACGCTGTGTGGAACAGAAAATAGCTGCATGGTTGTGAAAGAGAAAGGGGGAAAGGTTACAGATTTTCTGCAGAAGAGAGAAAAAAAATAAAACCAAAGAAGGGATTCAGATGGAGCAGGCCAGGAGCAGTGTCCATGAGGCTGCTGCAGTTTGAGTAAGTCCATCTCCACTGCCAGCAGTTAGGCGAGGATTGAAAAGCCAGGAGGTGGCAGGAGGCTGCCGTTGTGTTCGGTGGAGTGGGTGACGAGTGGTGCCGAGGGTGAGGACGCGCTTGCGGGGCTTAAGAGCAGTTGGACTTAGGTGAATAAAATACAGTCTGTAAGCAGGAAACAGTTCTAGATAGTGAAGGCAGAGGAAGCAATCACAAGTACCTGGCGGCTGGGTGTGGTGGCGCACGCCTGTAATCCCAGCACTCTTGGGAGGCTGAGGCAGGAGGATCATTGCAAGTTCAAAGCCAGCCTGGGCTACAAAGTGAGTTTAAGGCCAGCCTGAACTGCATAGCGAGACCCTGTCTCAAAAAGACAAAAAACGAACAAACAAACAAAATAAACAAGTACCTACCTGCCCATGGAACCTTCACTGTCACTGGAGATGAGGGTGACACTGACCAAGCAGTTTCTGGTGTCTGCTTTCTTGTTCTTAGCTGTGGCTTCTTGTAGGTGGGCACTTTTCCTGCTTTGGGCATTTTTCGATAGGCACAGAACCGTAGAGGAAGCAAGGCTGTGATAGGGACCAGTGGAGAAGGGTAGTCACAGCTCCAACAAATCGGATTTTGTTTCCCTAGAGTTGAATTTTCTCCCCCTATCTCGATGCATTTGTCTTACTTCTGAAAAGGAGAGCGGACCCATTGTAACTCATCCTGTCTGTGCATTTAATCATGGAGAAAGATACCTCTATTAAAGAGAGGCTAATCGCAATTGTAAAGAAGTGCCCCGCAGGAATGACACAGAAGACAAGGGAACACAATGAACCTGTGAGGCCAGAGGAGGAGAAACATATTTAGAGTGGCACACCAATTTCTCTTGTCTGTTTTACCTTTTCTGCTGGTGAAAGTGTATAGGAAGTTCCAGGACTGTAGATATTCTTGGGGAGAAAGAATAGGCATTTTTTGAATGTTACCCTTACTAAGGACCTCAGCCATTGTTGTGGTTTGGGGTTTTGTAAGGGGAACATATACTACAGGACACATATTTCATAAGATTATTTACAGTAGTCACCCAAAGAGTCATATACAAAAGACAGTGCAGGAAATCTGTCCACACACTAAAGACCAAAGCATCCAGCTGAGGGCCTGGATCCCACAGCAGTGTTCTGCATGAGTCCAACTGAAGACCTAGAGCTCATAACAATGTCTCCAACGAGTCCAGCTGGAGGCCCAGAGCCCATGACAATGTCTCCTGCAGGCCTGTTTCATGGATCTGTGCTGGGAAGGCCCAAAGGTTGGTGGAAGCTAGAAGGTCTGTGCCAGCGGAATGAAGGATCTGTGCTAGCAGGCTGAGGGGTCTGCACTGGAGCCAGGAAGTGATGCTCAAAGTAAAACCAGAGCTGCCCCGAAAAGTGCCACAGCCATCCTCAGCGACAGTGAGGTCCCAGGCTTCTCCAACAATGAGAATAGCCGAGTTCCCATCAGGAAAGCCAATGTGACGAGCTTTTCCAGGAGACTGAGCAGTGCACCATCTTCCCTCCGGAACCAGGAAGTGATTTTCAAAGTGAGGACCAGAGCTCCCCCAAAGGGAACCGTAGCCATTCCCAGTGACAGTGAGGTCCCAAGCTCCTCCGATGAGAGCAGCCCAGTTCAGCAGGAAAGCC